ATTGACGATTCGGCTCCATGTAAAGCCCGACGTTCTCCACGCCGGCGTCGCCGATGCACCGCCGACTTCGCCGACGCATCGTCGATGCATCGGCGATGCGTAGCGATCCGTCGACCCCATGTGCTCGGATCATATCTAGGAGGCCTCTGAAGAAGTCTTGCTTTCCCATCCCATCTTCACCGGGTGACCTGCTGTGGCCTTCGAGAAAGAGAGCGCGGCAGACACACAAACGTTTCGGAGCGCCGCGCGGATTGTTCGGATTGGCGTTTGGACGCCCGGGCAACGCTTCAGGCGCCGCCCTTGATGCGCTCTGCAGGCCAAAAAGGATGGTTCCGAACCACCTGTTGCGTTTTGTTCCTTCGGGTAATAACGAAGTACGTTGTTCGAACAAACGCAGGTGTAAAGCGTCGGTTTAACTATTCCACCTCCTCGTAATACAAGTACACAACATGGATACCACACTCCTCTTTCCTTGAACCCTGTCTAGAAGACCCCGCCCCCTGAGCGTTTTGTTTCTTCACGGGATTGAGCCGAGTTATTTGTCCAGGTGGTTTTCTCACAATCTGCATTTTTTTGTGTTTTGGAAATGGCGCTGCCGTTGCAGCGTGGGCGTCGTTTTCGGATCGGCGTTGTGCCCCCCGTCGTTCAGAGTGCCGTTTTCTCCCCGGTGCGGCCACTTTTCTGGATCCGATTCCTTTTTCAACTTTCTCGCCCCCCCTCTCTTCCCGTCTTCCGCCTGCGGAGGAAAGAGGGGTGTACAAGGTACAAAACAGAGAAGCAACGCAATCGGGAAGGCAAGCATGTGAAAAGGGATCGATGCTACTCCTCGCTTCTCCCATCCCTCTTGCCCCCGTCTCTCCCCCCTCTCCTTCTTGCCCCCCCTCGTTTTCCTCTTCTCTGTGATCGTTCTCCTCCTTTTCCTCCTCATCCTCTTTCCTCATCCTTCTCCACTGTCCGTCCCTCTCCTCCTACCGTGCAACCCCCAGAGAAAACCACACGGACGCGGTAGGCCGCGGGACATGTGATTCCAAGGCTTTCGCTTCGACCTGTCCGCAGGGGTCTACATGCACTTGAGAGTTGCCCTGGTGCCCCCCCCAGCGCAGAGTCCAGTCCAGAGGTCCCCTCTTTCCTTCATCCCTCCTCCTATCCTAGAGCATTCGCGTGGGTTTGACACGGATGTGGCTCTTTCGGGCGTCTTGTCCGATCCCCATTGGAGTTTTCGGTGCGCTCCAGGCTCTCCTGGGACCTCGTGGGGCATCATGGCGGGGCTCCCGGGAGACAACTCCGCAGAGGCCCTTGGGATTGACGTGCGCCGCCCCCCCCCCCCAGGGGCGACGCGCGCACCGAGAAATCTGTTAGTATACGGTTCGTGGCGGGCGCTTGCTGGCCATACCGCTCGAGAAACGATCCTTTACAAGATGGTTGTACTGCATTTTCGGGTCGGAAGCACGCCTCCAGGGGGAACAGATAGTACTAGTATGTTTTCATGCGTCCCGGAGACACCTCCGTCGCAGGCCTAGAGGTTGACACCAACACCAATTTCGGCGGTGTGCCTCCACCGGGGGAAGAAGATCCCGATCTCGGTGATGGTGGTAATATTCTGGCTTCCAAGGTGGCCGAAATATTACCACCAACACCGAATTCTAGGATCGTCTCCACCCTGTGGAGGCAGCCCCGTGTCTTGGTGTTGGTGCCCATTTCCAGGCCTCCAACTCCGCGGAGGCGCCCGGCAGACACTCCCTGGGGGACCTCCAGAGCCCCCCGTCCCCCCCCGTGGAGGCCCGCCTCCGCCCTGGGGGCCGGCCCGCTTCGATCCGATCGCCCGGATCCAGTATCGATTCTGGCCGACTCGCTCAGAGTCGGCGCCGTTTGGTCGCGTGTTGCTAGAAGTGCCCCTGGCCCAAGCTGCCCCCAGGATGTCCAAGGATGCCCCCCATGGCCTCCAGAGCGCCCCCCGCACGAGGCCCAGGGGGCCCGAGGGGTTTCACAATCGACAGACAAGCTGGGGACACCTTGGTCCAGGGGCACCTCTCTAGCATTCCCCGAAGGACGAACATCTCGGGGGATGCTAGAGAGGTGCCCCTGGACCAAGGTGTCCCCAGCTTGTCTGTCGATTGTGAAACCCCTCGGGCCCCCTGGGCCTCGTGCGGGGGGCACTCTAGAGGCCATGGGGGCATCCTTGGACATCCTGGGGGCAGCTTGGGCCAGGGGCACTTCTAGCAACACGCGATCAAACGGCGTAGTGACCACACCGCGTGGTGAATCAGTGTGGGTTCGGGGGCACCGCTCGGTTTGGGGACTCGGGTCGTTCTCCGAGGACGTCTCAGGCGATTGGGGCCTCCGGGGTCCCAAAACCGTGCGATGACGGACCGCGCGGTGAGGTCGTGAGGGATTTCGGGGTCACTGCACGGTCCATCAAGGTTGTCCGGGAAGCAGTGCATTTGGGTGGAATGCTTACTTGCAATGGCAAAGCGACGCCAAAGGTCACCCGGCGCCTCGGCGAAGCGCAACGTATCTTCAAGCAGCTCGCAAAATTTTGGTACCATGCAGCATTTGGCTGGAAAAGAAAACACAAAGTTTGCGACAGCTGTGTCCTGGGCAAATTATTAGATTCCCTCGATTCTCTTTGGCTATAACAAGCTGACCGACGCAGGCTCGATGCGTTCCATTGCTGTTGTCTGAGGCGCATGGTAGGTGTCCAGCCTTCTTTTATTTCAAGAGTTACAAACGCAGACGTTCTAGACAGGGCTGGCGTCGAGCCTCATTCGCAGGTGTTATTGGGCAGACAAAAGAAATTGTACCACTAAGTATCAGGTGGGCCTGTGTCGCTCGTCCGTCAGATGGTATGCCGACAAGATGGTACACCGAAAACTTGGGTGGAACATCGGCGTCGTGGCCGGCCGAAACAGCAATGGACTTCAGAAGTGTACAAGCTGTGTCAGCACAATTGAGCACCCCTTCTGCTGCGTAGTTCGGCCTCTTCAGTCTTCCCTCATCCCCCCCTCCTCCAGCGCGATTGTGGGTTGCAGTGTTAGAGCTGTTTTCCTTCGTCGGCCCTATGCGGTGGTCGTGCCAACGCATATTGCTGGATGTACGTCTATGTGGTGGTGGTGACGCACGGTCCATCACCACACGGATTTGGGCCACCTAAATGCCGCGGAGCCGGTGCGGCCCGATGCCTATATCCAACTTCAGGGGCGTTACGTGCATACTGGCGCGGCCGAGCCGATTCGATGTCGCTTCCGTGCCTGTGCGGGCCGACCGATCCGACACACACACACAAGCACACACAGACACACACACACACACACACACACGCACATGTCGTGTCGATCTTGGTTTCCGGTTCGATGCTGTTGGTTGTTCCTGAGTGGAGGCTTGCCTCCACCAGGATGGATCTGCTCAATCCCAGCGGTTCCCCACCCCCCAGGCATCCGCCGCAGCGGCACAGAGTCGGAGGGCACCCGGTGGAGGGGTCCGGGGGGGCCCACGCGTCGAGGCAGGTTGCCTGCCCGGTGGTCGAGGAGAGATGGATCCCTCCAGTGCGCTGTTCCCGAAGCTGGGGCCCGCGGCGGGCCCTGGGGCCGTGGAGCAGGGGCCCGGGACGAGAAGCCACCCCGGGCGTGGCCCTCTCTCTCTCTCTCTCTCTCTGCAGGAGGAATCTTCCAACATAGATTGAACAACTATGATGGGGGCGTCATTTGTTTTAGTGTTCTTATGGTCGCATGGTTTGTGATATTTTCGATGTTTCGTCCAAAATCCGCCTGCAGGGGGACACGCCCGACCTAATCGTAACTGCCTCGATACGCCCGTTTTGATACGCGGCACGTGCCGTTCTCGCAGCGTCCGTGTCGACGCGCTGCGTGTTGGATCAACGTATCGGCCCACGTGTTGGCGAACGCATCATGTCAGACCTGCGTTTTCAGTCTAATTACGTGTAGAGCTCCGTGTCAACACGCTACGTGTTGCGTGTTGCGTACTGGGGCAGCTAAGTCCCTCCTTCATCCGAAGAAGAAAGAACGCCATAAACATACACTTGTGGCGCTCCGCGCGGATTTGGTGGATCCGCGATTGGGCCCCCCGGGGGCGCCTCCGGCGCCGCACCTGGCGCGTTCCGCGCGCTGGGGAGGGGGGTCCAGCGCGGATTCAAGAAATCCGTGCGGAGCGCCAAAAGTTTCTGTTCATGGCGTTTTTTCCGTCCTACCTTCATTGAGAACACAGGATCCCTAACCCCAATAGTGTATGCGATGAAGACGTGGCCTCGACGACGTCCCCGTCTTCACATCTGGGCGGTTTGGCCTGGTGCATCTGCAGGCAAGACCCCTTACCCCTAATGTTTCCGGCCCTCCGAGGTCCCCTCCCAACGGGTTGGGGGTCCGTTTTTGATGAATCAATCTTCCCTGGCCCTTGTCTCGGCGGCGAGCCGTGGGAGAAGTGGGAAGGGGCGGGCCTTCTCGGAAAGCTCGGAAGTCCCCCGGCCTTCTGACATGTTTTCTAAGCCTTCTCCGAAGACGCAGAACATTGTTCAGAAGGCGCGTGGGCTTCTGGGAAGTCCCGCTGCCTTTGAGAAGACCTTCTCCTTCTCACTTCTCCCTTCGCCCGCCGCCGATTGGGTACCCTGGAGGTGTCTCGAGGTCCTGGGCGGTGGCAATGTCTGGGGGAGCCTGGGTGCCGAACAGGATGTTGCAAAGCGCCCAAAAGCCGCCTGCGTCCTCGTTCCTTGGAGCCAGCCGGGGGGGGGGCCTTGTTGCCACGGTTGGCCGCGGCTCGAAGAGCTGGTCCGACCCGGCGGAGGCTTCCGGGCTCGATCTGCGATCCTCTGTAGGTCCAGCAAGATTTCCCAACGCAGGAACCTCGATCCTCGATGCCCTCTTCTCATCCTGGCTTGAAAGCTGCTCAAGAATTCCCAAACCCCAAAACTCGATCCTCGACATCCTCCTCTCATCCAGGCTTGACAGCTGCTCCCTCCGGCTCTCGATCCTCGATGTCCTCCGCCGGAGGTGTTGGACGAGAAGCACCGGTACGCCACGGTGCTCTACTCGTACTGGAGGCGGTGGCAGCTGTCCGATACCCGGGCGACGTTTTTCGAGTGGCTCGAGGCCGCTGGTGTGGCCCATCTTCCTGCTCCATGCTGCTCCTCGCCTCCCTCACTCTCCTCCCTCCTCCCTTCCTGAGGGAGGGAGGGAGACTTGGCATCGCTCGGACGTCTGCGTTTTTTCTCGGCGAGGGCCATCGAGGATCATCTTGGGTCATCTTGTGCAAATGCACGCAAGTCATCGAGAGATGCAAGGGGAATGGGCGTCCGAGCGATGGCGAGGAGGATAATTAGGGAGGAGGGATGGGAGGAGGAGGAGGAGGAGGATGGGTGAGCAAGGCAGAAGGAAGATGAGCGAGGGTGAGGGAGAAGGAAGAGGGAGGGAGGGAGCCTCCCTCTTCCTCCTCCCCTCATTCTCCTGCTCCTCCTCCTCCTCCTCCTCCTCCTCCTCCGCATGCCTCACTCCTCCCTCTGTCCACTCCCCCCTCCTTTCCTCGCTCCGTCCCTCTCCCTCCCTCCTCCCTTCTGCTTCCTCGCCTCCCTCTATTCTTCCTCCTCGATTCTCGATTCCCGAGGTTCGAGCTGTATTGTGATTTTGGCCTCTGTCCCTTGAGGCCTCCTGGCATATCCGGAGACCCCCGTATACCTCATCCTCTTCCTTCTCCGCCTTTCCCCTTTCTCCCTCATTATATCTCCACCCCTCCTCCGTATAAGCATGTCTTCCCCGTCGCACCACCAGACGCGTCGGTAGGGCGGGCCAAGCGTTTTGCTTGAGGTTTCGCCATGTATGTCAGAATGTGTGAAATAGCATGCTGAGCCAAAACAGGTACACGCATGTTTCACAAACTAGCGATCGCCTTAGCCCCGCGCGAACCCATATTTACGCTTCCATCCACTACTCCGACGCAGGGAGCTCCTATTTCAATTTTGGGTTCTCGTGTGATAGGGCCCTCTGCTCCGCCTTCAGAAGTATGAAAGGTCGTGACGGGCTATCACGATGGTAGGCGGCTCTTTCTCGAATGTGAGAGCTCGCTTGCACGTCTTCAGGCTGTCTTGCCGTGTGCCGAGGTTGCGAAGCGCTCAAAACCGAGGGACGGCGGCCACCCCGCTGCCGATTCCTCCGCCGCTCCGACTCAGCGGCTCGAGTCCGGGCCCTCCTGCAGGCGCGTGTCTTTGGGGAAGGCCCGGAGCACTCCTCAGCAGGCCAGGGCGACGTCCGAGCCTCCTGAGAAGGCTGGGCCCGGGATGGGCCCAGCCTGGGCCCCTCCTCCTCCTCCTCCTCCTCCTCCTCCTCCTCCTCCTCCTATGGGCTCGCGACTCCTCCTCCTCCTCCTCCTCCTCCTCCTCCTCCTCCTCCTCCTCCTGCTCCTCCTGCTCCTCCTCCTCCTCCTCCTTTTTCCGTAGCCATTTTGGCTCAAGCCATTTTGGCTCAGGCTGGCTCTGTGCGTTTTGCCCGGTTTCGGTCCCCTCCATACTGTGCAGGCGCGCTTGGGCATGGCTACGGTCGATATTTGCCAGTCCGTGGCAATGTTAGTGTGCGCCCATGCGAGTGCGGCATACGTCTTGGCGGCGGCGCTTGGTGCTGCTGCGGGCGGGGCCTCCCGTCAGGCTGTTGCGGCGATGGTGGCGGCCGCAGTTCGTACCTCCCTCGACGGCTCCCCCGATGCCGTCCAGGAGGAGGTCAAGGCTAGGTTGGCTATGGTGGAGCCAGCCCTCAAGGAGATGGTCAAGGCTGGGCCGTCGGGGGACCCAGCCCTCAACGGCGACATGAAGGCTATGCGCAACACGGGCCTGCACCTGGACATAGGCTGCGGCGCGGTCAACCTCCCGCAGGATGGCAAGGAGGCCAAGCGGAGGCAGCGCAGCGGACGCAAGATCAAGGAGAAGGCCAACCTGCGGCTGGCGGCGGAGCCAGGCGAGTGCGATGATGGGACACTTCAGTGAGGCGAGCAGCACCTCCGCGGCCAACCAGCACGTTGAGCAGAAACAGGTCGAGTGCAAGCCAAGCGAGGACCCCAGCCTGGTGCATGAGGTCATCGACGTCTCCGTGGAGGCCTTCGTGCAGAAGGTGCATAAGGAGGCTGACGAGGACCAGCACATCGGGGTGAAGGTCAAGGAGCCGCAGGGCGACGCGGTGGAGGTCGCGACGCTGACCCTCAGCGCTGCCAAGCAGAAGATCGATGGCACCGCGTGCGTCATGTTTGAGCTGGAGGCCCAGCTGGAGTCGGCCCGTGCCGTGCATCTGGCCGCCTGTGAGGAGGCCGTCGACGCGGGCTTCGAGGCTATCGACTTCGGCGAGGCTGGGTCGTGAAGTCGGCCAAGTTTTGAGTGGCCTTGGGGTGCGGAGGCTCGTGCTCCTCCTGCGCCCCCGTGCCGCGGAGGCTCGTGTTCCTCCTGCGGCTTGCCTGCCTCGGGGTGCGGAGGCTCGTGCACCTCCTGCTCCTGCGGCTCTGGCTTCCCTGTGTGCGGAGGCTCGTGTTCCTCCCGCGCCCAGCGGCAGCTTCGCGCCGCGGAGGCTCGTGTTCCTCCTGCGGCGCTGCAGCCTTGGGGTTGCGGAGGCTCGTGTTCCTCCTGCGACCCCACGGGCTTCGGTTGCGAAGCACGTGCGTGCGCTTTCAGCATACTCCAGCATACTCCTCCTCCTCCTCCTTTTTCTCCTCCTCCTCCTCCTCCTCCTCCTCCTGCCTCCTCCTCCTCCTGCCCCTCCTTCTCCTCCTCCTCCTCCTCCTCCTCCTCCTCCTCCTCCTCCTCCTCCTCCTCCTCCTCCTCCTCCTCCTCCTCCCCCCCCTCTCCTCCTCCTCCTGCTCCTTCTCGTGCTGGTCCTCCTCTCTTCCCCTCCTCCTCCTCCTCCTCCTCCTCCTCCGCCGCCCCTTCTCGCTTCCCCCCCCCTCGCTCGCCGCCGGTCCTGGCCCCCTTGGGAAGGTCGGCCAGGGCTCCCTAGTGGACCTGCCGGAGAACCCGCGGCGGCTGCTGGAGGAGTGGCGGGTCATTTACCTCAAGCGGCACCAGCAGCCCCTGTTCCGAGTGGGCGCCTCGGCACGGGAGGCCGGGAGGATGGAAGGGGGACATTTTGTTCTAGGCTTCCTCCGCCTCCTCCTCCTCTTCCTCCTCCGCCTCCTCCTCCTCTTCCTTTTCCTCTTCCACCTTCTCCTCCTGCTCCTCCTCCTCCTCCTCCTCCTCCTCCTCCTCCGCTGCTCTCCTCCAGGCCTCCCACTTGGGGTCCGAGTAGATGGGGTCGGAGGATCGCGCGGCATCGCCGATGCATCGGCGATGCGGTTCGATGAGGTGCCCGATTTCCTCCACGCCGACGTCGCCGATGCGTCGCCGACGTCGCCGATGCATCGCCGATGCATCGCCGATGCATCGGCGATGCATTGGCGATGCGGCGCAGTCCTTGGACCCCATCTGCTCGGACCCCATCTAGGATGGCTATGATTGCGTAAACACAAATTGTCGGAGCTCCTTGCGGAGTTCTTGGATCTGCGCCGGGGGCCCCTGGCGCCGCCCCTGGCGCGCTCCGCGCGCCAGGGCGGGGGGTCCAGCGCAGATCCGAGAGGTCTGCGCGGACCCCCGAAGGACTACGCGGATGACCTCTTTCTAGCATCAGGGGCGATGCCACAGGGGGTAGTTAGGCTCGGGGACGACAGGTTCGAGGCCTCGGGATGCTCGAGAGCAGCTGCGCCTCGCTGAGAGGGTTCCGGGGGCACCCGGATCGTCACGATCCGGGTTACGACCCGAAAACCAGATGTAACGACAGAGGGGATCGGATCGGCTCAGGGGGGAATGCATAATGATCGCCCATTGATCGCCGATAATGGGCCGGTACCCCTGTCGTCCAGGAGCGTGCACATTTCGCCTTCGGGGGCCCATCGCCGATCAATCGGCGATGTATCGCTGATTCCAGATCGATGGTTCCCGCCTTTTGTCTCCCCCCCATATCGCTCCTCCTCGGAAGGGAGGGGGGGTGGAATGGGTGGTTAGGAGTAGGAGGCGGACAAGAGGAGGACAAGGGGAGGAGGGGGAGGAGGGGGAGGGGGAGGAGGAGGGAGAGGGAGGAGGAGGGGGATTACCTGGTTACCCAAGGAATAGAACAAGCCGACGCAGGCGAAAGGAGGAGGAGAAGGAGGAGGGAGAGGAGGAGGAGGACAAGGAGGAGGAGGAGGAGAGAAGAAGGAGGAGGGGAGGGGGAGGAGGAGGAGGAGAGGAGGACGATGGGAGGGGAGGAGGAGGAGAGGAGGAGGAGGAGGAGGAGGAGGAGGAGGAGGAGGAGGAGGAGGAAGAGGAGGAGGAGAGGAGGAGCAGGAGGAGGAGGAGGTGGAGGAGGAGGAAGAGAAGGACGAGGAGGGAGAGGCGGCGGAGGAGGAGGAGAGGCGGAGCGGAGGCGGAGGAGGAGGAGGAGGAGGAGGATCGGAGGAGGAAGAGGAGGAGGAGGAGGAGCCCAGGGGGGGCGTATGGAACATGTCAAGACCACGCGGCCAATATGCAGCACTGCCGCAGCGTGGGCTTTGCAGCGGTTAGTCGATGGATGCGGGGATGGCCACCCTTTCGGGGGTAGCGTGTCGTGCCGTGTCCGCTCCCATCTTCTCCCTCGGTGCTCCTCGATTCTCGATCCTCCCTCTCCTCCTCCCCCTCCCTTCTCCTCCTCCTCCTCCTCCTCCTCCTCCTCCTCCCTTCTCCTCCTCCTCCTTCTCCTCCTCCTCCTCCTCCTCCCGGCTCGTCCGACCCGATTCTGAAGTTTCAATCCCCAGAGATCCGATCCAATTGGGGATCGGTGGCGAGCCCGGGGGGGAGAACAGAAAAGGAGACCTTCTCAGAAGGCTCGGAAGTCCCCTGGTATTCTGAGCAGTGTTCTGAGCATTCGCTTCTCAGAAGGTTCGAGGGCTTCTGAGAAGCCTCGCCGCCTTTGAGAAGGCCTGCTCCTTCTCAATCACCCCCCCGACAAGACCCCGGACCTGGGCGACTACAGAGGGTGTGGTTACGCGGGGTTGCTTTGCGATCGGCGCCGTTGGGGCATGGCGGGTCACGGCACTGTCCTCGTCGGGCATCCTCAGGGCGCAGCGGTGAGTTCGATCGATGTACCCGCCCGTCGCCAACGGTGCCGCCTCCAGGGCGCCAGTTGCGAACTACACCCTTTGCAAACCACACCCTTCGGAGTCGCCGAAGCTCGGAGACATCGAAGGTCTTGGGGGGCGCGAGGAGGAGAGAGCAGGAGGGCGCGGGGCAGGAAGGAAGGCAGACGGAACAGGGAGGGTAGATGAGGAGGGGGAAGGGTGAGGATTAGGAGGGGGCAGGCAGAAAGAGAGGACGAGGAGGAAGAGGAAGAGGGGGAGGAGGAAAAGGATGGGGAGGAGGAGTAGGAGGATGGAGGATGAGCAGTGGAGGATTGAGGAGAATGAGGAAGAGGAGGTGGAGGAGGAGAGACACTTAGGGGAGGATGGATGCGGCTGTGTCTGTTGCGCATGTGGGTGTGGGCTTCTGTGTGTGTGTCTTTGTGTATGTATGTGTTTGTGTGGGTGGTTGTGTGTGTTGTGTGTTGTGTGTGTGTGTTGTGTGTGTTGTGTGTTGTGTGTTGTGTGTGTGTTGTGTGTGTGTTGTGTGTGTGTGTTGTGTGTGTGTTGTGTGTTGTGTGTTGTGTGTTGTGTGTTGTGTGTTGTGTGTTGTGTGTTGTGTGTTGTGTGTTGTGTGTGTATGTGTGTGTGTGTGGGGGGAAGGCAAGGGATGGGAAAAGGCAGAGGATGGGTGTGGATGCGGTAGAGCTGTGCGCTTGGCCTGATGAGGGGCGCTCTGAGGCCATGCGGGGTTCGAGGAGCGTGCTGTGGATGTGGCGTGACTGGTTTGATTATGGTACACCTGAGACCAACTGCGAACCCTACCCTGGCGGGTCTAAACGACGCACGAGTATCGACGGATGGTGAAGTCGCCTTCTCAGAAGTTGGGAAGACGACACATTTCATCACTGGTCCCCTTCATACGTCATGAAGAAATTTGCCGAAGACATCACATCCTTCGAATTCTGCACCCGAGCCAGTGCTTCATGCATCTGACTGGCAGGGGAAGGGTTCGCAGATGGTTGTTTAGACAGAGTTGTTGACACCGGGAGGCCATGTGAGCTATCAAAAAGGTGACCATGATGCCGCGGGGCCATCAGAGGCTACGAATAACAAAGATGGTGATGATGCTGATGCTGATGCTGATGCTGATGCTGATGAGGACTATGATGCTCGAGAGGAGGATGACGCCGGTTGGGGTGATGGTGACATGATGACGGTGATGATGGTGTGGTGTTGATGATGAGGATGAGGAAGAGGAGGAAGAGGAGAAGGAGGAGGAGGAGGAGGAGGAGGAGGCGGCGTCTGGCGCTGGCGGTGGTGGTGTCGCTCTTCCTGGTTTCCAGGGATGGGCAGGGGGGTGTCCAGATCCTCGGCCAAGGTGGTCATCGAGAACGGCCGCTTCCTGTGGGAAGCGGACCGCACCCCGATCAACCTGCCGACGGACCCCCTGCGCATCGACGGACGCCCCGCGCCGGGGAAGGGGGGGCAATCTTGGGACGACGACGAGGACGACGATCACGGACGATGAGCGCGAAAGGCGGCTGGGAGGGGGGGGGGCGCAAGCGGTGCGGTGACTATACCGAGTGGCGAGTTAGTGGTAAGTCGGGCAGGTCCCTCTACAGGAGGAATATTCAAACATTGAGCCTGGGACGATTCTTTTGTTATCTTTGAGCACTTTTGTGCATTTGACTATCTGTCAGCTTTCTCCCCAAATCCGCCTGTAGGGGGACAGGCCCGACCGAAAGTTAGTGGGGCTTCGGTGTGGCCGGACGGCGACGAAATCTATACATATCCACTGCTCCCTGACCATGCCCATCCTGAACCCAGGAGCTGTGTATGCGCCCTCCTGGCCAAGCCAGGAGGGCGTGGCGTATACACCGCTGCGGGGTTGAGCATGGGCCTGGCCTGGGAGCAGTGGATATGTATAGATTTCGTCGCCCTACGGACGGTCCTGGGACTGGCGTCGTTCTCACGGGGCGTCCGAGATCCCAGAGCCACGCGGGGGCGCACCGCGCGGCGAGGTTTTTTGCGGGAGGCCGATGCCACCGCACGGTCTGTCGGCGCACCGCGTTGGGACCCCCGGCTCGGCGGCGAGCGTGGAAGGACCGGATCCCAGACCTCGGGCGAAGGGAACTATGCACATGCACCGATCCTGGCAAGGCCCGTCTTTGACCCAGGGTCGGTGCATATGCCTTCCTGGCCAAGGCAGGAGGGCGTATGCACCGATCCTGGGCTCAGGATGGGCCTGGCCAGAATCGGTGTATGTGCATAGTTCTTTTTCCTCTAAGACCCCCTCGGGTCACAGAAAAATATCACGACGGGAGGTTCTTCGCCATTTTGGTTTCTGGGGGCCCCCACCGGGCCGCGGGGCCGTCCAGAAATTGTTCAGGATGAAAAAAACGGTCCCAGGGAAAGGGTCTGGACCTCTGGGGGTCGCGTCATGAAACAATCATGGCGTCGGGGGTCTGGGATCGGCTCGAGGAGGGGACGCGTGGACAGCGAGGGCAGCGAGAAAGGGGCCGAGGACCGATCGGCAGCGAGCGAGGGTGGGGAAGTGAGGAGGAGAGGGCCTTCTCAGAAGGCGGCGGGACTTCTCAGGAGCCCTCGCCCTCCTCCACCGCCTCCTCCTCCCCCCCCTCCTCCTCCTCCTCCTCCTTCCTCCTTCCTCCTTCCTCCTTCCAGCTCTCGCGCCGTCTGAGGAGTGCCCCGTGCCTTCGGGGCGGGCTTCTGCACACTGCCCAGAAGGTCGGGGGGCCTCTCCGAGGCTCCCGACGAGGCGCGCCCCTGCTCACCCTTTCCCCCCGCCCCCCCCCCTCCGGCGGGGCGCGCCGCCGAGCGACCCCGAAGAGCGGAGGAGGCGGACTTGCTCCGAAGGAGAGCACTTGTCACGAACAGGAATTGTCCGGGGGCAGTGGCCATGCGAAGTTGTCGAGGCATCCAGCCGCCGTGGTCGACGTGAGGGAAAACAAAAAAAAAAAAAAAAAGTTGTCACGAGCAGGAATTGGCGGAGGTCCGCGCCGATCTCTCGGGTCGGCGCTGGGTGCCTCTCCTCTCCGGCGCACAGAGCGCGCCAGGGACAGCGCCGGAGGCGCCGACGGACTGGCGTCGCACGGGGGGGGGGGGGCGGGGGGGGGCGATGCGGGAGGGGCAGCGAGGGCTGCAGAACAGGGGCCCGTCAGGGCCCCTAAGAGGAGCCCGTTGGGGCCCCAAGAGGGGGCCTGCAGGGCCCGGGAAGTGCACCGTTCTCTCCCCCCTCCAGGGATCGCCCCTTCCCAATGAAGCGACGCCCAAGACCAACGCCGATGCGAGAAGTCCGCGCCTACCAGCAGTTTACCTTGCGCCTTGTTGCATGATCCTCGTGCCTTGGCATCCCTCTGATGTGTTTTTCCCTCTGCGCGAACCATCGAGGAGCATGTGGGGTCATCTTGCGAAAAAAAACTTTGTTTGATCCGCGGGTCGAGAGCGTACCTCTTCCGGTCGAAGCTAAGCGGGCCGCGCACAGTTTTAACTAACAGAGTGGTTGCGAAAAAAAACACCGCACGAAACCGAAGAATGCAGGGATTGGACGTCCAAGCGATGGTGAGTCTGGAAGAGTACCGCTGCCGCTGCAGCCACGGCCCTGAGGCATGGACCGCTTCGGGAAGCAGGAGGGGCTCTGTCGCAGGCGATCGTTCTCCCCCACCCCCCCGACAGTTCGACAAGAAGCGAAGCCTTTCAGGGAAGGAGGGGAACCCTGAGATACACCCCCGAGGGGGCTATTCGGCCGCACCTTTCATCGAGGATGGACGCCCCCCCCATCGTACATCCCAGGGTTGGGCCCCAAATTTCTGAGACCGACGGCTCGCTTGTGAGGCGAATTGTTTGCAATGGCGACAGCACTCCCAGAAGCTGGGCTTGCCGCAGGCGCTGGGGGCGCCCCAGACAACAATGAGCAACGTCTGTGTGCACTACAACTGCGTGCATGCCTGTACGAGCACGCAGAACATGCTATTTCGCCTACGCGTCCGCCAGGGATGCACGGTCGCAGTCGGTCGGTCGTCCCAGGGGTGGTTCACCCGCCCTTCTCTTCTCCTCGCCCCCTCCTGCCTCCTCCCACGTGCTCGCTTCCCCTCTTCTCCCCCGTGCTTCTCGCTCGTCCTCCATCCTTCACCCGTCCTTCCTGACCCTGCTTGCCCTCTTCTCCTCCTCCCCCGTCGAACGTTTCCTCAATGATCGAAGAAGAAGAAGAAAAGAAACGCCATACACATAAACTTGTGGCGCTCTGCGCGGATTTCTTGGATCTGCGCTGGGGTCCCCCTGGCGGCGCTTCCGGCACCGCCTTTCCCCCTTCCTCACCACCATCCTCCTCACCATCCTCCATCCTCATCCCTGTTCTGCCTTCATCAGCGATCCTTCCTCCTCTGACTCCTCGTCCCTCCCTCTTGCTACACCTGACGCTCCCCTCGCCACCGTTTTCATCATGTTGCTCCTAATCCGCCCCCCTCCTCATCAACATCATCATCATCATGATCATCATCATCATCACCGCCATCATCATCATCATCATCATCATCATCATCAGCATCATCATCATCATCGTCATCGTCATCGTCATCATCATCATCATCGTCATCATCATCATCATCATCATCATCATCATCATCATCATCATCAACATCAACATCAACATCAACATCAACATCAACATCATCACCGCCATCATCATCACCACCATCATCATCATCATCACCATCATCATCAGCAGCAGCATCATCATTATCCCCCCTCCTTCTCCGCCTTCTCCGTCTTCTCCGCTTCATCCTCCCCCTCCACTGGCCCCGGCTCCGCCCCGCGCCCTCCAGCATCGTCGACCAAGCGCGAGAAGGAGGTCGCCGACCTGTTGAGACCTGCCCTGGAGAAGGCCAAGCACCGCGACCACCTGCTTGAGGAGGCCCGAAAGGAGGCGGAGGACGCCAAGCGATGCGGCGAGGACCCGAGTGGTCCTCCGCGGGGGGGGAGGACCCGAGGGGTCCTCCCCCCCCGCGATTCTCCCCCCCTCAGCGGATGCCCGAATCAGTCACGGTGTGATTCCATGTTCTATGGTTGGGGCCTCTTCCCCCTCCTATCGAAGACGCCCACGGCGAATCACCGCCGCCCCCTGCCTTCTCGGAAGCGCCTGTGTGGGCGAAGGTTGGGCTAGAGCTATCGGATCATGTCTTCCCCCTGCTGACGCGAGGAAGGGGGTAATGAGGAGAATACGGGGAACAAATAAGAAGAAGGAGAAGGACGCCTCTTTGAAGCCTCTTGGGGCACTCTAAGGGTCTCATGGGAGCTTACTGCGGGCCTTTTGGAGGAGGAGGGGGCTTCCTGGGAGGAGGAGAGGGCTTCTTGGGAGGAGGAGGAGGAGGAGGAGGAGGAGGAGGAGGAGGAGGAGGAGGAGGAGGAGGAGGAGAGGAGGAGAGGAGGAGAAGGAGGAGGAGGAGGAGGAGGAGGAGGGGGAGAGGGCATGCTGGGAGCCTCTGGAGGCACTCCTGGGGCCTCCCGGGAGCTTCCTGGGAGCCTCTTGGAGGCACCTTGGGAGCCTCCTGGGCCTCTTGGGAGCGTTTGGGGGCCTCTCGGGGGCCTCCAAGGCCGTCTTCAGGCGTTCCTGGCCCGTCTGAAGCCTTCGGAAGCCGTCTTGGGTGCCTCTCTGAATCTTCTTGGGGTCCTCTTGGGGCGCTTCAGGGCCGTCTTGGAGGCCATCTTGGGCGTCTTGGAGGCCTCTCAGGCCGTGTTGGGGCCCTCTTGGGGCCGTCTTGGAGGCCTCTTGGGCCGTCCTAGGGCCATCTTGGAGGCCTTCGGGGCGATCTTGGGTGCCTCTTGGGCCGATTTAGGCAGCCGGAAGGCCGAAAAGAAGCAACTGCCAAAATTCTGCAAGAACCGAACAACTCAATGATGTTGGTCTCTGCGGGCCCTCCTGGTGGACCTCTTGGAGGCCTCTTGGGCTGTCTTGGAGGCCTCTTGGGGGCCTCTTGGAGCTGTCTTGGCCCGTCTTCGAGGCTTCCTGGGCAGACTTGGAGGTATCTTGGACCCTCTTGGGCCGTCTTGGAGGCCATGTTGACCTTCGTGGGCGAACTTGGAGGCCATCTTGCCCTCTTGGAGCCAACCTTGAGCCGTCTTGTTGGATTTGTTCTGGACGTTGAGGTTGTTTCCGGTCCCTTCCGGGTGGCCAGCGGCATGGACCGAAATCCCAGGGGGAGTTCGATAAGAAAAAACCCAAAACCATGTCGTAAGACATTTAGCACGCCAGTAACCTTTGTGGCAAGCCAACATGGGGCCGCGGATGTCATAGCCTTCAGCCCGTCCCTCCACCGCACTTGGGTTGTGGGTGGTGGGAGGCCTCTCGGGGGCCTACTGGAGGCAGTTCGGAGGCCTCCCGGGGGCCGTTATGGGGCCTCCTGGGCCCTGGTTTGGGCATTGTGTGCCTCTGATGGGCCTCTGGGTTGCCTCCTGGGCGCCTCTTGTGGCCTCCTGGGGGCCTCTGGGTGCAGGAGGCTCGGGTTCTCGGCTCGTGTTCCCTCTCTTGGGCCCTTTTTGGGGGCCGTCTTGGGGCCCTCTTGGGCCGTCTCAGGAGCAACTCGGGCCGTATTGGGGCGCTCTTAGGTCGTCTTGGGGCCATCTTGGAGGCCTCGTGGGCCAGCTTGGGGCGGTCTTTGAGGGCCTCGTGGGCCGTCTGTGGAGCGTCGAAAGACCGAACGCCAACATCCTGCAAAACCCAAGGGAAAACAACGATTTTGGCTTCGGTGTCCTCTTGGGAGGTCTCTTGGAGGCCTGGGGGTGCACTGGCGGCTTCTGGGCCGTCTCGGGGCCAGCTTCTGCGTTCTGGGGCGATCCTTCGGCGACTCGGGGCCCTCTTGGTCCATCCTCGGGGCCTCGTGGGGCCCTCTTGGCCCTTTTTGGGACTCGCTCGGGTCCGAAAATTCACGCGAGAATATGCGGGAAGCCCCAAACAGATTTCGGAATTCGGGGTCCGGGCCCCCTGCAGACTCCTCTGGATTGAGGACGGAGGCTCCAGGGGGTAGGCAAAGGACCTGAGGACACGCCCGCTCCGTGCTCAGAGGCAAGGCGGCGGATGTTTTACCCCCAACAATCCTCAGATACATTCCACCCCTTTTTGGCACGGCTGTGCGGTTGTACGCCTTTCGGGACCGAGCGGTGTCTTCTCCTTCCATGTGTCTGGAGGCGGAGTGATTAGATGCAGTTTATGAGCGTGTGCTGATAGTGAGGGCGAGACAAGGCTCATGCGACCTCATCATGTGTTCGTATCGGGTAATGTCCTCTTCCTCACTTCTCCTCCTCATCATCCTCACGCCGCCTCCTCCTCCTCCTCCTCCATATCCTCCTGCTCCTCTCAGTTCATCCTCTTCTTGTCCTCACCCTATCCATCTCAGGACCTGCTAAGCCCTGCTAGCAGTCATTGGACTCTATAGCCACATTCATCCCCCCCACTCTTTCTCCCCCAACCCATCCAAGAACCTCAGTACATATAGTATCCATGCCCCCGCATAAGCTCCGGACCCCCTGATTACCTCCCGACATCCCCGCTGTGTATTCGCCATGCCCCCTTCCTTTTCTGTTCTTTTCCCCATGTCCCCCCTCTGCCTCCGTACCTAAACCGAAGCTCATCCGCCTCGTTGTTCCTCCCCCCGCCTCCATATACCCTCTTCGTCCTCGTCCCTCCGCATCCCTCCTGACCCCCCTCTACCTCCTCCGCCTCCCCCTCTCCCTCTCTCCGGCCTCCATCCGAACTCCTCCATTATCCCCCATCCCTCTCTTCTGTCCTGTCTCCGCCCCCGTTCCAATGCCTGTCCAGGAGTGCTCCCCCATCGTCCCGCCACCAGACGCGTCGGTGTGGCGTTCCGCCGTGCGTTCCGTTTGATATCGGCAGCAAGGTAGGATATAACACCTTGCGCTTCGGGAGGGCTTTTCTTCACGCTTCACTTATCACCACCAGCCCATTCAGAAACCTTGCCCATGAGAGTCGACGTGTAAAAAGGGACGAACGAAGAGACACATACAGTGAAACAGTGCATCCTTGGGAGCAACGTGGTGGGTGGCCTTGGGGGGCCTCTTCGGGCCCTCTTGGAGCCCTCTTGGGGCTCTTTTTGGGAGGTCGTGGGGTCCTCTTGGGGCTGAGTTCGGGGGTCTTGGGGCCCTCTTGGGGGCCTCTTGGGTGCCGTGGAGAGCTACTCGGGGCAATTGATCAAATGGGGGTGCCTGGCTTCCTGCTCCTGCTGCAAACGCCCTCAACACCGTCTCCTGGGGCCCTGTTGGGGCGTTCGTGGGGCGATCTTCGGCGCTTTCGGGGCCGTCTGGGGGGGGCCTTTTGGGCATCTATTGGGGCTCTTTTGGGTGATCTTCGGGCAATCGCGAGGCCTCACAGGCGCATCGGACGCGAAAAGGCGATAAGGCACAAATCGATGATTTCTCTCGAGGTGTTTTAATCATGTCAGCCTCTTGGGGGATCTTGGAGGGGTTCCGAAAACTTTCACATTTAGGGAATGTACGAACTGAGGACGTAACATGCTTGCGTATCTGTTGCCGTCCAGGCGCAAGGCAGCGCCGCCCTATCTGCCAGTGTTGGCGACGCTGCCTGCGCTCAATTTGGGGCACCGGGGGTGATACAGAACTCTTACCACATCCTATCGCCATCACTTAGCTTCACCCCCATCCAGACCACTAACCACAACGGCTTGGCATGGCACATCTATTTTATTCTTGGTAGCTGAGGTGTCGCCGCCGCGGCAGCTCTGCTCACCTCCGCCCAGAGCGTGATGATGTACAACGCCATCTACGTGCGCAGCGGAGGTCACATGCAGGGTTACAGCATGGGCATGGTGGGCACTTCCTTCGACATCCACGTGACGAGTACATAACATTTCCGCAACCACTGCGCCCTATCCTTCCGCAGCCTTCTTTTCAAGCGCGCGAGTGGACTCGACCGACGCGGTGAAGATGTTTCTCCCCTCCTCCAGTTTTCCGCGTACTCCACCGTCACCGAGCGCGCGAGGAACCTCGACCGCTACCACGACGACGACACCATCGATGTCCTCTTCCACGTCGAGCGCGCGAGGACCTCGATCGCAACCGCGACGACGGGATCACCGACCTCATTCTCTACGTCGAGCGCGCGAGGAACGTCGACCGCTATTACGACGACTACGACCCCCTCCTCAACCACTACCTCATCTACGTTCGTTCGCGGTGCCGCAAACGAACCAGACATCTCCAGCCTACGCGATCGCCGATTTGCGATTCTTTCTTTGTCTCCATCCGCTCGTGGGAACACGGCCGGTACCATTGCCGCATCCAGACGTACCGCAACATCGTCGGTTTTTCCAGAGAGCGCACTACTTGGGATCGGCGGAGCACGGACTGACCGCAGCGGCCATTGGCGTCATCATTGGCCGTATGAGCCGCGAGCGGGCTGGGCGACCAGACAGCGGTCCGACGCGGGGCCCCTGGGCCTCGGCGCCGCGCCGTGTCTGGACTAAGCGAAGTTCGCGCAGGGCTACGCGCCCACTCAGGACCCGTGACTCCATCACAG